TCACACCTATGTACACAACTGTGAACATTCACATCTATGCCAATGATGTGGACGTTCACATCTGTGCCACTATGCTAATCACATGAGCCTTGTCTTAAGTTTTTTTTATACTCTATTTTGCAAATATTGCACAGAAGACAAACTCAAAGCGAAAAAGAGATGAGTACCATGTCAAGGAAGAAAGCCCACATGCAAATACTAATAGCAATGTTGACATGCGGCGTGTCAACTCCAGATCTAGCATGACCGGACTAGCGAAATTAATGAAAAGCACCAAATTCACACAAGCACAGCTCGGCTGCCTCCGGCAAACATCTTTCTAGCATTTATTAGATACATTGAGAAACGGTGAGATCGACCTTGACAAATGCATGAAGTACGATGATGTTATTGTGCATGTCCTACAAATGTACAAGGCTTCAAAAAATGCCTTCTACATTGGGGAGAACAATATGAACATACACGACAGCGACACTAAGTTGATTTTTGGTGTGGACTGTGGCACCAAACCAATGGACATATCATATGGTACAAAACCAAAGACTGGCATTGACCGAGGCATTGAAAGGAAAAAAGAAAGATGACAACGAAGAAGTCCCCCGACTAGTCTGCATGTATGCTTGCCAGAAACTTTTTTTCTCGACAATCAGCTAAACAATAGGATGGGGCTACTACGCAGATATGGTCCCATTGGAAAGCATGCAAGAATATGATTGGGCCAAACAAATTAGAACAACACTGACATTCTCCATTTCCCAAAACGACAAAAAACGGGCAAAAGTCACCGGCTGTGTCATGTTATTGATGGTAAGTACCCATGTTCTCAAATAATAACATTCACATCTTCTTGACTTTTGTTCATCTCTGCCAAATGTGAACATTTATATCTGTCTCACTGATATGAATGTTCATATTCACTTCTGCTTTATTATTGCGAATGTTTACATCTGTACCACTGATGTGAATGTTCATATCCACTTCTGCTCTATTGCTATGAATGTTCACAACTGTGCCATTATTATGAATATTCACATCTGTTGACATTGCTCTACAAAGGCTAAATAACATATGTCTTTGTTGTTTTGTTGAAGTACTGGTTGTGTGAACACACAACCATCCTACAACCCCACAAGCCCAATGTCATTCCTCGTTGTGTCAAGTGGGACCTGACTGCTTTACAAAAGAAGATGAAATCCAGCTCTTTAGCTAATCTTGGTTTTAATGAGGTATGACCTTCAACTGTTGTTCAAAACATTCACATCACGACACCACCCAAATATGTACGTTAACTAACATAACTTTTTCATTTCAAGTTAATGTCGGCAATCTCTTCACAACCCCAATATAATTTCAAAAGTTTAGGCATACAACATTGAAGGTGGAGCCCGAATGTCATGAACCAGCCATCACATCTTCCAACCTCTCTAACATTAAGGAAGAACAACATAGTGGCAATAACTCTGAATTTCCCAGGGAGGAAGTTGACCTAAATGACAATAATGAAGACATTCACATTCCCTTTAACAGCCCATCCGATGAGAGAGCTATTGTCATAGCAAGCACAAGCCAACCCGACATCATCGATATGCTTGTCAAAGAAAATCGGGAGGCTTGGGGCATCATAAGGCAGTGGGAAGCAAAATACAAACACCTTGAATTCTCATGAGAGTTAAGGGCAAGAGTGATAGCTGATCTTGAAGATAAACTGTTCAACCAGTCAAGCCCATCCAACATGAACACTAAAATAAAAAAAGTGCATAGAGCAGAAGGATGCAAAAATTAAGCGCTTAATGCAGCTGGTCATCGACTTAGATGCAAGAAAATAGGTCTTTAGGACCTTTACGATAATTAGGTAGTTCACATTGCCACACAGGTCGAGACGCAAAAGCAACCCCTCTCACTCCAATGTAACACAATCTCAGTCCACCTTCTAGGGAAAAGCGTATCAAGGAGAAAAATCGAAAAGAGAACCGTTTGCCTACGTTCTAGTACCCAAACGTACCTGGCTAAAAGAAAGAGCATGATCGAGGTCCAAACTAGCCCCATATAGTCCACATAGTTGAAGATGTGGACAAACATCCACCGGCGAAGCACCCAAAAAAATTATTGACATTGACTAACAAGTTCAAAGTTTGGAGCATGATGTCCAAACACGACAAGCAAAAGGTCCAGACTTTACAAAAGAGTAGTGGCGATGAGTAAGTGACCGTACGAACATCTAATATGAACATTCACATTCCATAATTATGAATATTCACATATGTGCTTATTGATTTGATTTATTCAATTGCGTGCAATGTTAATATTCACATTGGTTTACTAAAAATGCATAGGTTGCTTGTGTGAAAAGGAGACTCAAAGTCTACATACATGTATTTTGATGACATCGTGTATCTTATCAAGGAGAAATCGATACACAGCAATGTATGACACTACCAAAATGATTCGCTATTCATGCATATACACACAGACACATACACACACACACACACACACACACATACACACACACACACACACACACACACACACACATTGTTCACCCACCACAAATAATATAATATGACCCTATATTTGTGCAGCTGATAGATGCATATACCAAACTATTACATGAACAACAAGAGGTGGTCAACCCAACTTTAGATGAAGCCTCATTCATCGTCACGAGCATGTGTTTGGTAAAAGCTCTAACATTCCATTTTTGCTAATGTAAATGTGAAACTTCACAGTCCATTAATTATTTATCTAATGTGTGCAGGAAGTGATACCAGAGTACCCTCATTGCAAAAGAATTAAACACATTAATGCACATGTGAAAAACTACCAAAGAGAGAGATACCTACTATTCCCATTGCACTATGACTTCCACTGGACGATCGTTGTGTATAACGCTAAAGACAATTTGTGGAGGCATTATAACTCATTGCGACCAAGGCTCGACATACATGACCCACATGTCGACCAAACACAAGAAGTTGTAAGTGGCTTTTATTGTACACAAATATGAATTGTTGTCATGTGTTAAATTCCAAAATGAATGTATACACACATATGTTCGTTGGTGCCTAATGTGAAATTCGCTACACAAAAGGAGTACATCGAGAACGTTGTGTACGTTATTGGTGAGTCATCACTGCAATGGACTAAGTTCACAGGCCAAGATTTATCACAACCAATCATATCAGTTGCTGTTTGTCATCGGCAGGACACTGGCCTATAGTATGTCAAGATTTATCACAACCAAACATACATGTCAAGTGTTAATCATAACCATTTTGCGTTTACAGGGTGGACTACTGGCCTACAGTATGTTACATCATGTGGGCGTACATATACCATGAAGAAATTGTTGGCAGCCTCACTAGTTCTAAATGGTGTGGACAACGAGACTTATTAGTACATAGTTTTTTGAATCATAGGAACACAAAGCGTCATTAAAACCTATAGGTGAGGGGTGTCCACCTACAAACTAACTAACACTCGATGTGAATGTTAATATCAATTGTTTTGACATTTTGACAAATAACAATTGATTGTAAATCAACGATACGACATCTATTAATGTTTCAATATGCCACTTGTGCATTTTGATCTATATTTGGTGTTGTTATATTAATTTATACGCTTGTTTGAACCATATTGTTCTATAATACACATACTTTGTGCAGAAAATGTTTACTTTGTCTACATGACATCATTACGGAGGACATACACAGGTGTGGATATTCACATTTGTTCTTATTCACAACAGTTGTGAATGTTCATACCATGTCAATCTGTATACATGTGAAAGTTCACATCCCAGTTTATATTCATGTCAACATTGATAAAAATAATGTAACAAGTTCAACCCATGTGTGAGTATTCATATAATGTGATTATTTTACACAAGTGTGAATGTTCACATCATGTATTCATCATTAAAACACCAACAACATATCAGTTTGCTACTTTAAAAAAAACAAAAACAAAAACAAAAACAAACAAACAAACACAAATCAAACACTAAGTTTGCCAACACAACGTAATTTTATTGCAACACAATGTTTGCCTACACAATACAATCTTATTTCAAAAATCAATATAAGAATCCTATGTAAAACACAATGTTGAAATGAAAATTGTACACCCTTTATCGGCTCTTTGCATGATTTTCGATTGTGGCTTCCCAACTTATCACATCTCCCGCACCTTATTTGCTTCAGTTTCTCACCTCTTGATGGGATTCTATTCTTTTTTCGGCCTACCAGATGGTCTTTTCACAGTTTGTGGGTATATTGTGAAGTCTATGGGATCAAAAGGGGGCTTTTCCACCGACAGTATAGGGAATATGGCACCTGAATAGGCTGCACAATACGTCTCTACATGAAAATAATGTTCACACAATCATTGAGATTATAGGGGCTCTTTTGAATAACAATAACAGCATGATTACAAGAGAATCCGTTGATTTGCCATGTGAAGCAAGAACATGTATGCCTTGCAATATCAACTGTAGCAGATGGTATTGAATGAACCTCAAACACATCCTCATTGGCTTTGCTAACCTGTCAAGACCTGCTGTCGTTGAAAGAATCAAGAAACATTGTCTCGAATGTAGGACAAATAAGTTCATTCCATTTGTTTGCTTGGTCACGCCTCGCAGACATTTGCCGCATCAACTGAATACGAATTGTGTCCACCATGCGAGTGATAGGAAGATTGCATGCTTCTTTAATCCAATTATTAAATGACTCCACTGCATTAAATGTCATCTCCCCATAATGCATGCCCTTGCACAACATCACAAACATTGTACAATATTGAATTTATTTTCTTCGAAATTGAATATGAAATTTCACATCGCCACAAAACATAATTGAAATTCCACATCGCTACCATTCTAAACTTGACAAATGGAATACATTAGGAAACTACTATTACCTGAAGTATGAATTCGCCCAGTACTCAGGTGCCAACTTCTTGAAAAAATTATGTGCTTGTTGATTACCCTCCTCTTTTCATTTCTCAATCTTTTCATGGAACCCAACCACAGTTGGCTCATAAGCACAGTCACCCAAACTACTAACCAGGTGGTCCCTAAATCCATTATCAATTCCCTTCATCTGGTCTATTATATTGTTCTTCAAGTGTTGTAAGCAACAACCGTGATGTGCCGATGGGAACACCTTTGGCATTGCTTCTAACAAACCAAGATTATGGTCCAAAATAAAAGTAATCTGACACTTAGCGTCAACATCCTTCCCAAGTTCATGCAAGAACCACGACCAATTGATCGTGGTCTTTGAATCAACAATCGCAAATGCAACAAGAAATAAACCTACAACACAACACCATTAAACAACTGATCACAATATTCCAATGTGAATATTAACACAGGTAATGTACAAAAACACTATAAAGCAAACAGGGCATGTGAATGTTCACATTGTGTAATTATCAGTCATCTATCCACACTATGCCACTCAATGTGAATATTTACATGGATACATAACTAAAAAATATACTAACCATTGTTTCCATCTTTTGCCGTTGCCTCAAGTAACTGATCTTTGTACTTTCCTTTGAGGAATGTTCCATCTAGGAATAATAAAGGTCGACAAGAATTGTATCCAGAAATATATGCAGCGAATGATACAAAGAAACGACAAAAATATTGACTACTCATGTCATAGTCAATATTGACATAACTCCCCAGATTGTAACGCATCACAGCATCCGAATACCACTGCAACTGGTCAAACAATAATGAGTGATCTCTATAAATAACAGCATTTGCTTTCTCCACACCCAACCATACCACGTGGTAACTCACATCTGGCCCATAATCCCTCTTCAAAATAGTCACCACCTCATACGGCTGAGTCAACGTCTTGCCCCTCACAATTTCAGATATAGTACTCGACACCAAATCAGAACTAACACTCGAATTCTTCGATGTTCGGACATTCGTATCACAACTATGCACATCACTAAATCTCTTGATGTAGAAAAAACTATTTGCTCGTTGTGGTCTACGATGTATAGCCAACAAGCAACCTCTCTCATCGCGCATTGCACACACCGCAGTAACCTTTGTTGTTTTGTTTTTAACATACGTAAACTGAAACCCGCATTGGATTGCATATTTACATAAAACATCACGAAATTCTTGTGCACCTCCTACAAACCGTTGTCCCATGTGCGTAATACCATTTGCTCAAGGGGCTGACAATAACACCTTCTCCTTATGGTGGCAAAATCTCTGGAGTGCATCAGTTTCTTCCTCACCTCCCACACACAGCGACTCAAAGCTACTTGACTGACCAATATCACTTTTTAAATCAATAACAACCTCTACATAGTGTAACCCCATTAATTTGGCAAGCAATAGCTGTTCTGAAATTCTTCGTCATTATCTAAATCACACCTATTAATCCCAGGTAGTCAACAGAACAATGAAACAGAACAAGCAAACAACTCATCTCATTTCTAATATAAATACTCCACCAAACGCGAATAACACAATGCGTAAACCACATTTATTATAGTTGAATTGTAACCATATATGCACACCAACATCATAAAGGTATCCATCTCTTGTAAAAACACAACAAAACAAAACTCAACAACCACATAACGACCATACGAACAATAATACATACAACAATCAATACTATATGAATATTTACATTATGCAAACTAAATGCTTATGCGTACAGTTCCACTGCTAAATCCATAATGAAAACTACCATCACCACCCTTGCACAACATAAAACATTTTACAAGTTCAAAATCACACCACCAGAATGATGACATAGTACACAACATGCATACATCTCCATAATCTCATATTAATAAGATGTGAACATCCATCCACATTGAGCAAGCATCAAAAACTCATCAAAAAAGCACTTGCTTTACCACATACATCAAAACATAACATAAAACGAACATACATTCATACACAATGTATATGCCTATATGTACATTTTACACTACTAAATCCAAACTCAAAATATCACCATCATCATTATCAATAAGATGTGAACATCCATATTGTTCACTTAATCCAAATTACCTCCCCATTACAAAGCCATGCAAAATGTATACAAATAAAAAAAAAACAAAGCATCCGATCTACATACTTCAAACACCATATCATCCAATCCATCACATAAATCAAAACATAAACTGAACATGCATTCAACACCAAAATGATACCAACCTTGATCATTGAATCTTGTACTCGTCCTCTACCTCGAAAATGACTGATTTGAACCAGTTATACTCCAAACAATGTTACAACCGAATACCGTTTGAATGAGCCATAACAACAACAATGAAACCCTAGCACACACCAACCTTCAAACGAGCCAGCAAAATTGAAATGTATCCAACCAAATCAGAATCAGAACAAAAAGCGTGAATACAGTAACCTACCAAAACAGAATTAACAAAAAACAAGGAAACGTCTATATCTATTATGTGTATCAACAATATATAAAAGGGCATAATAGTCCATTAAAAATAATAAAATGAGGAAAAATGATCTCATGGAATAAAAAGATAAATGCATGGGACTAATCAGACTGTACTAATCCTTTGTGGACCTAATGGGTTGCAATAATTCTAAAATGGATTTATCAATAAAAATTCCTTTTTATTTTCTTACAATCTCTAATCATTTTTTACCGTTTATTTATTTACTTAACCATCTAAACAAATGAATGAATTTCATATTCACACTATTTCTTTTATTTTCTCACCCCATCCATCCAAACGGAGTGTTGTATTCTCCTTGCTCTTAATACTAGAGGTTGTTTGAGATGATTTAAATAAATACTCTCTCTGTTTCAAAATATTAATCTCTTATTCTATTTTGTATTGTCCCAAAATATTAGTTCACTTTTAAAAATTAAGGACTAAAATAAAATAAATTTTTTACTTACCATCCTTTAAATTTATATGTAAAAAATATAATTTTGACAATTGATATTCTCAAGAAAAGTCAAAGAATAGTTTTAGAATATTTTTGAAGTGTCATGATTATACTACCAAAATAAATTAAATTCCTTAAAAGTGACTAATATTTTGAGATAGAGTAAAATATACTTTTTGATATATAATTAAAAAATATATAACATAATAGAGATATGATATAACATAAACATGGGATACAAATAAAAATAAAAATAAATATAAATGCTAAAATAATATACCCAAACAACCCCTAGGTATGTGCACTCCAGTCTCTCTTGTCCGCCAGTACATAAACAGCGATGCATACACACACACATATATGTATATATATAAGTGGGAGAGCGAGAGAGAGAGAGAGAGAGAGAGAGAGAGGGAGAATGGCGGGAGTTGAAGAGCGAGAAAGTGAGGTTACCTTGGATGAGCTGAAGAAGAAAATGGCAGTGTGTGGAAAGAATGAAAAAAATAAAGAGACTGGGATCAGTTTCATAGCCCTAGAAATCTTCTTTTGGCTCTGGTATGTCACATACATAATCTCCACACATATATATATATATGTATATGTGTGTACTCTCCTGATATTTTTATGGTTGATTCTTGCCTCGTACCGATTACTGCGTCCCCTCTCTCTCTCTCTCACATTCATTTTTATTTATTGTTATGTCTCATTCAGACTCTGAATTTCAGAGTTTATACCGATTTCTGGCATAGATCGAACACTTGTTCCTGGAGATCCGATTCCTTTCTTGTGATCTTTGAAACAGGAAAAGATAATTTAAAAAAAAAAAACTTCGGTTTCAGAGAAGTTGGATAAGAAAATATGTACTGTTTTTTAGCACAATTGATTGATTGGCTCTCCAGAATGTGGGTTTTCAATTTTTCGGAAATTTAAACAACTTTTTAAGGTTCATGCATGAGAATGTTTACCTTTTCCTTAGCTACCAAACAAAATTTACACTGTTTGGTGTTTGTTTGTAATGAATTCATTTAGCAAGGGAAAGGAATGGATTTTATAGGATATTCCCTACTGTGTGTGGAACTAATTGAAGTATAAAGAATGGATTTTTTTTTTTAAGAAAAAAATTGAGGGTAATTTGATAAATGGATAGTTTAAATTTCAAAATTGTTCTTTTCTTACAAATTCATCCAAAATAAAATTCCATTTATATTTCTCTATTCTAAACATTCCAAATCCTATTTGAAATTGTCAATTTCATGAAACTTTGAAGTTATGAACTTGACTTTTGATGTAATTTTCCTTGCATTTGTAGGCTTCTTTTGTTTTTTTTTTTTTAAATTTTATTCCAAAATGTGTAATCACCCTAGATAGACAAGGCCAAGTAGTCCTCACCCTGTGTTTAGTTGGGGATCTAGGAAGGGATTTGAAATTATATGAAATGTAAGTATATTTTATTAATATTTCATTTTGTTTATTATTATTTTTTTAAATTCCTTTTCAAATTCCTCAACTAAATACAACATTAGAGAATCCTGTTTTTTTTTTTTTCCCTTCATATGAGAAGCAGTAAAATTAATCAAACCACTTATATTTACCAATAACAAATTGTTTTCAATCTGTTTCTCAAAATGTTTTGTTCAATTTTAAATATTGTTTTGTCGTACAATAAAATTGTTGTTTAAAACATAATTTTAAAATGTTTATATAACTTTTTAAATGCGTGTTTCACAAAATATGTTTGCAAACATAACTCCAAGAAACAACATGATTTTGGCAAATAAATTAAATATCACTTGTAATCGAGAAATAAAATTTCAAATCACTTGGATTTTCGTAAAACTTTATAAACACGAGTGGATTTTGCGTTGGGTCTTTCTAACAAATGTTAGGCAAAGTAAAAAAGGCCCAATTTTTTATTTTATAAATTTGAAGAACATAAGATTTTTTCCACTTATTTCAAAATGCTTTTAACTAATTCTATACTAACATTTTCATCTACTTTCAAAACCCTTGTTGTACGAATCTCAATATTAAATAATGTGATATCATTTGTCGTGAAAAATGTTTGGGACTCCCACAAAGGAGGACTCCTCACGACCCCACTACTGTATTGACCATTGATATGTTTGAATTTTTTTGAAAAGTTGTGTCTATTCAGATTATTTTTAGAATTGTGGGATTCTGTTTTATGAGAGTCTATATCATTACTCCATTTGCCATTTGATGTATGTCTCTCATCTCAAATATCAGGTGGGAGAAGTGGGAGAGTTGTCTGGGATATTTCAGTGGAAAGGGGAGGTGCCAAGAGGTCTGCCAGATTGGGAAGAGGAAGAGAGACAACACTTGGGTGAGGAGCTCTCAGACGTGTTGCTGTACCTTGTCAGGCTCTCTGACATATGCGGTGTTGATCTTGGTCAAGCTGCTCTTCGCAAGCTCCAACTTAATGCCATCAAATACCCAGCCAAGCTCTGCAAAGGTTCTTCCAAAAAACACACCCAAGTCAACAACAACAACAATAGCAATAACAGTAGTGTTGGTGTTGATGTTGATGTTGATGTTGATGTTCAGTTCTCACTGAGTTCAGAACAAAAGCAATGATGATGATGTTTTGATCTTCTTAGATTTCATGTACTACCCTCCTCTCTTTAGCTTTGCTTTGTTCTTATATTTTAATGATTCGAACAGTGTTAGTAGTTAATATTATTATAAGCTGCTCAGGCCTTTTTGGTGTATTTGGTTTTTCAACTTTTTACATTGCTTGTGTTTGTAATCTTGTATATTTTGGTTTGGTTGCGTGTGGGTGTAGCTTGGGAGGTGTACTGTAGTCTGTATTTTTATCTGTATGTAGGTAAGAGTGGTGAGTGGTACAAGTAGAGAGCGTATGCATGAGCAACTTGTGTGGGGATGGCCTGACATGGTAATGGTATTAGTGTGTGTGTGTGTTTATGTTTTACTGCTTTTAATGTTTTATCAGAGATGTATGATGGCTGAGCTGGCTGCCCGGAGGAATCCTTATGAGGGGAAGCTGATTTCAGGGAGATTAATTATGGCTGTCCCTTCCTTTAAGTATGAAATGGTTGAGTTTGGGCTCATCACGGATCTCATGTCAATAATTCAAAACTTTTAATATGTAAAGTTTATTGAATACTTTATTTCTGTAAAAAATTATATTGATTAGATATTAATAATTACCTGATTAGATTAAATTTGTGTCAATAATAAGTATGATTTTAAAAATAAATTGTTGACATAAATGTGGTTTT